GGTATGGATCCAAATAGACTTGGAGAGATGCTGATGCCAAGAGAGGAGTCTAAGTGTTCAAAGAAAAAAGCAAAGCATTTTATTCTCTGAACTTTTCTGAAAGCTGGCTGAAGAAATGTTTTCCTCATTTCATTTTAGCTGCCAAGAACAAATTCATGATTTTTTTTTGGCTCTCCTATATTAAGGACTATCTGACAACAATGACTGGACAAATGTGGCAAGTTAGAGGTCTTCTAGGAGAGGAGAGAGAGCAGCTGGCTTATGGCCATCAGTATTTAATATGTATTTTTTCCCAACAGCTCAAATTTTTCAGGAAAAGGAGAGGGTGAGGAGAAATGAAAGTGAAAAGAGTTCAGTTGTGGGATGGATTAAACCTGGAACTAACCACAGGAAGTTTCTCAGGAATAAGCCAGTATTTTGGGTAATGCTATTTCTGGGGAATTTTTTGACCCATTTGGCTTGGAGATGTGTTTCTGAGACAACATGTTAATTCAAAAGCTGCCGAAGATGAAACATGACCTAGCTCACCACGAATGATGTAGCGAAAAATGCATTTATGAAGCTTCTGCTAGAGATGATTCTCCCTTATATCTGGATAATCTCTGAAGGTATGACAAACAGTGCCTGTGGCAAAGATAAACTTCCAGGTAGGCTTATCTCTTGATTGGGGATATTACTAATAAACCAGTCCAGAGGTGAATAAATATTTCATTTGACTCATTAGTCACAATTCGATCATACAACTGTGACTGTAAGTACAAAGACACATTACCAATGTAAAGACAGTACAAAGCTCATCAAACTGCATCTTGGCCAGCTTCCCAGATTTCTGACAGCTCAGACTGAGTCTTTGAGAAGTCTACTTTCCTAGGATTAGTAAAGGAATAGGAGTGAACTGACAAAAACATATGAAATCAGGCTAAGCCTGTAGAGAAGACAGGAACAGCATGAGAGATGTGACTCAGACAGAAGCTTGTTGAGCCAGAAAGTTATTAAGGTTCTGGGTTACCTGCTCTAATGCACCCTGACAGAGCAGATGGTTTAAGCAAGATCCCAGAGGTCTCTTCCATCTTCAACCATTCCATGGCTAACTAATTCTGTGAAACATATGTCTTGTCTTATCTAGAATAGAAGACAATAGCAAGTTAGGATGGCTGATATTGCTTTGAACTATGAAAAGAAAAAGACTGGTAGGACAGACTGAAAACAAATGGCATCAAAGGGATTCTCTAAATAAATGAATTATTTATTAGTCTTTCCCCTCAACAGTGTTCTTCTGTGTTTTTGCATGCTGGATAGAGCAGAGTTGTTACTTTTTTCAGAGTGATGACAGTGATGGAGTTCATTCATATTAACAAGTGGAAGAAGGGAGTAAGTTGGGGTAGAAAACGACTACTCCCCCATTTATGGAAGAGGTTGGAGTCAGGGATGACAGAATTTCCCAGTAGTATTGGACAGAAAGATATATCATGATTGACAGGTGTCATTTTAGACAAGTAGTCACTAAGTAGATTTTGGTCACATGGTAACTCACATGAGCTTTTGGTAAATTTGGAGTAGGGGTCCTGAACATGCAGAGGATGCTAAGGGCTAAAAGTGGGGCTTATGTTGTAGCTCTGTTGATTCTGTGTTTCTGCAGTGGCTCCTGGAGTACAGAGACGGGGCTATGGAGGTGCAGGCTGTGTTGGGATCCTCTAAAATAGGTACTGGCAGACTCCAGTCCCATCAAACAGTAGACACTGTGATATTCATTTGTGTCACCAAGGGCTTGTCAAGGACTGAACGCCTTCAGGGCTTCTTCTTGTTCCAGAAAATTAGGTAAAGCTCTTTTCTGTTGCCCTGAAGGATGACACTATTGTTTGACAGTGTGGATGGAGCAGTAATGGTAAAGAGGTGCTGAGAATGACTTGCAGCACTATGTTAGTGCATTCTACCTTGCAGTCCAGGTCAAGTTTTCCTGTAATCAGATGGAGCACTTCCAGATATTTAAAATGTGAGACACCAAGTACTCATTTAGCTCTCTTCCTCAAGAAGACAAGATCTATCAAGACAGATAGGAAGTATTAAATTTGAACAGTTAAGACATGCATTATTCTATCTGACAGAATGGATGTTGCCAACGGAGGACGACCTAAAAGTAAACATGAGGATTTGGGCATCCTTTTTCTTGAAAAGCAATGAATTAAAGATCCAATAGTTGCATTTAAATGACTTCAAGAATGGGAGCGTTCATTAGCTCAGCCATCGACCTGGTATTTTCTACCTACAGTCTGCTGCCAAGTTGTGTACTTTATGAATGTGAAATGGAAAGAAGTACTTTATGACTTCCCTTTTAATGTACTCTTACAGCACCTTGGAAATCCCACCTACTCCAGTCCTGCCCTGCAGAAAATTTTTCCATGCATTTATTACAGTAATTTTAAAAAATATATTAGATAGCTTCATGTTTCTTTATTGAAAAAACAGATGGAATTTTCTGATGCATTCATGTTGACATCATCCAGAATAGTCAGTCCTTGAATTCATACTGAGCTCATATCAATCTCCAAGATCCTTAGAATGACAGTAAAATGCTTTTTGTTTTCAAATTATCATTTGCTTTATCAATTATTTTTGGCACATTTTCATTAGTTTTCAGGTGCTACAGCATTAGTCCACCTATTTACATATGAGAATACCAGCTGATATTCTACCATATTCTACCAGCTGATAACAGTGTGCCCTTAGGATATATCTGTATATCAAAGTCAATACCAGAGGCATGCTCAATTGCTTTTAGTGAGCACCGACTTTTAAATATTTTGACATTTTGCAATTTAAGTATAACAGAAGAGAGGGTCCTATGATCAATACAAAAATATTCTTTGATCTAATCAGTAATTCATTTTTCATAAATATGCAGATTTTTCAGCTGTCTAGTAGAGCTGCTAATGGATAAGTGGAGGGGAAAGGGTTGTCTGTCAAGAGGAAAATAAATTAATTCTGCATGTTACATCACAAAGAATGTATTATATTTTATTGCTTTTCCAAGAATGTTTTAATGATAGAGCCACTATTTGCTACAGAGTTATGCTATAGTGTCCCAAAACCTAAAGTAATAAAATAATTAGGAATTAGTTTGTCTCCAAGGACATGTGCTTCATTACAAGTTATGCAGTTATAGTGAAGTGTTTAGACCCAAAAATCCTTGGTTTAAATCCAAGGAACCAGCATCCAGGAACAAATCAAGAAGCTGAAATCAATTAGAAAACAAGTTTATGGGAGAAATACTTTTGGAAATGACTGGAGGATATGTTTAGTTACAGGTGAATGTACTTGGAATTACTTGCTGTAAGGAATGGGAGGAGAGTCTTGGTGGGTAAGACACCAGAGGAAATAAAGAGGAGCAGGCCTTGGGTTTTGCATATAGACACCATGGTCAGCCAGGTTCGGAAGTTGATGTGTATGGCAACCAGATATAAGAAATATTTGTATAAAGAAAATTGAGGTAGTGTAAAATTCTCAGAATGCACCAAGGATGACAATGCACAAGAGTTACTGAAACTTTCAAACATTGCCTCTACAGGTTCTTGCTTAGTAACTTACCATCAACTATATGATATCCTGCCTGTATACAGTAAAAGGAGGAGCCAATATGCACTTGAAATCTATTAATCTCATCAGTAGAATGTAACTCTTGAATTACTTTTTTTACTAATCACATTATCTTTCTTCCTAATCTTTTTCTACAGTAGTAACTAGCTTTCTTGTCATCACAGACCACCTTCTCTCTGTTCTATAGACCTCTCTCAAATCTTTCTGATTTTCTTAATCTTTCCCTCTCTGACATTAGATTTGATCACTTAACATTCATCATCTTCTTCCTCCCTGAAAACTACATAAAGTTCAAGTCATAGAGTTTCTTTCTGTCATGTACCATGGACTTCCAATCATAACCATTTTGTTGATTTTATTCCTTTGCCTTATCCTCATTATGTTCTCCTTTTCATATTTTATTTCTGGGATTTGTATAAAGTTTTGCTGAAAATAACATTTGAAAAATAGTGAATACAATGGGAACAATAACTTTAAATAACTTTAAAGATCAGTTACATCAAAAGGTCTTTTTTTTTTTTTCCCTAACTCTGGTAATTTGAAAAAGAAGAGGACTTGTAGAAAGAAAAAAAAGAAGCCCAACTTTGTTAAAGACTCCAAAGCTAGAACATAACTATGTTTTTATCCAGTTTCAAATCAACTTGAAAGCTTGAAAAAAGTTGACAAGTTTTTTTTTTTTTTTTTGTATTTTTTTTTAAATTAACTGTGATTTAAACTGTATGCTTATTGTTCTGTTTCTTTAAATGTGCGGCAGAGATGCGCTTATATAAACTGTTCCAATTGTTGATTACTCTCACTATTATTAAACATATTATGTTGTGGGGTTTTTTTAATTATTATTTATTTCTAGTATAGATTTGTCTATATGCATTTATCTAATAAAGAACTTTTTTTTTTCCCCCATTACATATTTTTACATTGTTATTAACCCACCTGGTAAACTTCTTTAAGTAACCTTAAGCTCTTCTATTATTCTCTAAAGGAATAGTTTCCTTTCTCCTGTTTCATTTCTTCCCTGTTTTTCACTTGCAAACCTCCTCATTATTTATTTATTTACTAGCATTTTTGCTGCTCTGACATGATTTTTCAATATCTTTCAGTGGTCGTTAGTAAGTATGAAACTTGGGTCTTTTCCAGAACAGGTCAGGTATTGAGACTGAATTTGGATTTATTAATTCAACCTGATTCACCAGTTTTGGAGACATAAGTTCTATTACACCTTCACAGGGTGTGATTCTCTTAGTTTTTTACCTGAATAGCACTATGTAGGAAAAATGCTAAATTACAGCCTGAACCAGTGATTGAGCACCTGGTGGGAGGGTATGGCAAACCCAGGGGAGTTAAGGTGCATGCAATGCATCTGAGTGACCAGAAATGGAGGAGCCAGGATCCACTTCTTCCCAGACCTCATTTAAGGGTTGGCAGTGGAGGAGAAGGTATCTTGCTGGAGGTTTCCATGTAACTGAAGTCTTCTAAAGGTAAGCAAATTTTCTTCTTTAATTTCAGCGTCCACAATTGCTGTATTTGGGCTTGTTCTCTTTTGCTGTAGCTGAAGACTTTGCCACCCTGCTGTTATTGCTATACTTTATACCACGTTATGGTGTTATGTGTGGGTATACTAAAGGCAGTTTAAAAAATAAACACACAAAAAAAAGCAAACTCTTGTGCTATTGATCTAAACTCATAGTATTAATATTTAACTCACACAGATTCACTCATCTATTTCACTGGTTTCGCTGCATGACTTTCAGTGTTTATAATGAGGAGATAACAAATAATATATTATTTCTACAAAATAGAAGGGAAATACATGAGTTCTATCTGAAAGGTAACTTTAAGGTGCAAAATGCAAAATCTAACATCCAGCTCTCTCTGGAGCAGTGTACTCTGTCTGCTTTGTTGATTTTGTTGCCTTACTGATGAAGGATAAATATATAATTCTTGAACACTAGATTCACAGGATTAGGCTAAGCTTGGCTTGTTTTCTTTTTGTGTCATTTTAAACTTAAATGCTAACTCTTGCGTCATCATGTTAATCTTGGGGAAAAAAGCTCCTAAAGTTTGTGATGAATATAAAATTTTATTCTTTCCATTCGCATCTATAACGGTAGATAATATCTATCCTATTTATTGTCTCTGCAGTACTTAAAATCTTGCAACAAATATCTAAAATCTAGGGAAGCTCTTGATATATATGTAACTATAGAGAGAAAAAAGTGATACAGACGTAGAAACAAAATCAAGAGCTAATTATGGAGCAATCACAACACTTCAGTAATAGATTATGAAGGCGTCAATGTTAATGATCTCTTAAACATCATTATAATTGTTTTTGTGAACTAATTCTCATTGAGTTAGTTGTTAATGTAGCCAGGGTCAATGTCCTCGGTATGATCTCTCACTATCCTATCCAAAGGAGAAATGACTGTACATAAGATTCTGTGGTAAGATTGCTCTGTTACATAGCCTCAGATGACAAAATAGTCCTTCAGGAACTATTAAAGTAAACATAACTGAAAAAGATCTCCCTGAAAGAAATGCCTCCTATTTATTTCCACGGAAACTTCAGTAGATACAAAAGAGCACAATAACACTATATGTTAAAGCAAATTCTCAGTCATAAGCCACTATTTATCACACAGTCACCAGTGATTTGCTATGTGTTTTCACCAACTATGAACAAGAGCTGCCATGCCATGCTTGTAAAATATGCACTATATAATATGACCCACTGATGAAACACAGCACCTACCACCTCACTGTTTTCACATCTAGTAATTGCTCTCCAGTAAGCACTCAGCAATTGTTGATGAGTGTCAATGGGTGCAAATTTTTCTATATGGAAGAATTCAGTGACACACCTTTGCTTCATATGTACTTCCAGGTCAGACTGCCCCCTTGCCATATGCCATGTGGCAATGAAATGTAATGGAATATCAGTGGGAAGGTTCCCCCTCTAGTGCCATACCACCAACACATATTCAATGCATATATCAAATAGACATTTCCTTTTGGATTTCCAACTTTCTTTAAGGTAATCCTCTGGTATGTTTCTGATTAAACACAACAAGCACTTGCCTTTTCTCTGTTTTATCCTTGCTGTTATAATTGTAAACAAAATCATAAGAGAAAAGTAGTATGATAAAGTAATAACTATCAAAATATGTAAAAGTGTTCTACTGCAATAATGGATCCATCACTCTTTCCTAAGCTTTATTTTCAAATATAATCATGCACTTAAATGGAGAAGCACAGATTCAATTCCCTTTTTATCTTTCCATTTTTTATTTCATTCTGTCTTTAAAAGAGTCAAAATTCTTCTTTTCACAGATTTCAGAGGCTCATAACAATAGATTGCTGAGATAATGGCATCTATCAAGAACATATTTGGTGCAGGCACTAAGGTCACTGATCTTTTAACACCAGTGAAGTATATCATTACACCACGTATGTTATGCCACCTACATATATATATATATATATATATAGGTTATAGATTATACAGATAGATTATAGTTATAGAATTGATTTCTCAAAGTCTTTTATATAAATATATTTATATTTTTATATATATTTATATATTTATATAAAAGACTTTGAGAAATCAATTCTATAACTCAGGGCTCAGAAGAAATTTCTACTGAAGTGATTATGATAATTGCATCAGCACCCTGGCCAGCACTGACCGAAGTCATTGCATTATTATTATTATTATTTTTTTTTTTTAGCCTGATGCAAGAGCACCCAATTTCCCCTTTATTAAATCCTCAGCTCCTTCTTGTCTACCCTTGCCAGAAGCTTATTTTCCTTCTATTGTATATGCCTTCCTCTGCCAGTTTCCATCTGTCTCTCCCTCGCATTACTGCTCATCAGTGCATCATAGAAATGCTGATGCCATTGTCTGCATACATACTTGTCCACATCTGGATTCTTTAGGCTCCTCCCTTTTTACCTATATCTCCATTCCTTGTTATCTTTTGCCATTTTTCTCACTCTCTTCACTCCTGAAAATAAATAATTCAGACATTGAAGATCTGTAAAGTGTTTGGGATAATGAATTGCAGTAGGAGGTACAATGCCGTTAAGCAACTGGACACTTACAATTAACAATTGATTAGTTGACAATTATGTGGGTAAGTGAAACAGATGGCTTTGCTAATCATGTGCAAGAGCTGCATAAATTTCTCTTTTTTGTTTACACCAAAATTCACTAGATTTCCCCCCCCCCCCCAACTGCAGCTTTGAAATTGATTTGATGGTTTACAAAATGCACCACTTCGGAGCAAAGAGACATGATAACAATCTGAATGTAAAGCCTCAATTTGCTATATCAATCTGTACAGGTAATAAAAATTCGGCTGAAAAGCCATATAGAATTCTTCTGATATCTTTCAGCACTATAACTTGAGAACAGTTAGGGAGCTGCTTCATCTCAAATCAATAAGCATTGCATATGTTCTTATGAAAGACTAAATCGACGTTTGCAGTGTTCCTAGCATCCATCCTTGCTTCTGCTGAAGTTAGTGGAGAAACTTCTGCTACATCTGTGAAAGGAGGCTGGAGCCCTTAATTTTATTCTTTTTCATTACTGTCAGTGAAGTAATTGTTCTGTATTGATTAACGTGTCTCTGAGAAAACGGGAACAAAGTACAGAAAGAAGGCTTTTGAAAAGAAAGTTGCTGATCTTGTATTGTAATATGTACTCCCTGCCGGCCAACTCCTGCAAATGGCTTATGCTAAGTAGTTACAATGAAGTAAAAATTACAGCCTAATAGTTTGAGAATACATTAATTTATTAAATTAATTTAGTGTAGTTACATCTAAACCTTACATGCATCAACAATATTTTTCTGACTGCTGGTGCTGTATTCACACTATTCTAACTGTTTATATGTTTTTTTTTGTTGTTGTTTTTTTTTTTTTTTTTTTTTTTTTAAAAAAAAAAAAAAGAAAGGAAAAAAAAAAAAGTTTAATAACTTTTTGTAACAACGTTGCTGTTCTGATGTAATGACTGAGCCCAGCCAGAAACTGCAATACTGTACATGGGTCAGATAGGCTTCCTTCCTTCTTCTCTATTGTGAAACTGGCAAGGGAGACAGGTGATGAAAGCATTCCTTTGAAGAATAATGGAAGAAGGAAATCACTGTGTTAGATTATTCAGTTCGACCTCCCTTTTTGTTTTCTCAAATAATTTCTAGTAACATAGCCCTAGTACAGAGTGTGAAACAGCAGCATGCAACATCCATTTTTCTTTTTAAAACAGTTTTTAGACAAACAAACACATGCAGACATTAAAGCAAATGTTTGTCTCCTTTTTAATGACCTATAACTCAAGAAGGTGTTGAAACCACTGTGAAAAATGTTTTGTTTTCTCTTTCAGAAAGATTTATTTCCAGATAGGTTAAATGATGTTTTCTATATGAATTTATTCAGCACCTTAAAAAAACTGAGTTTTGAATGGAAGTGATTGGACAACTTTGTTGCTGTTGAATATAGTAGTAGGAAGATGTTTCTATGGAAAGAAGAAAATAATAACAGGACAGAAAGCACTTTAATAGTACCCTAATGCTAAACTAGAATAATTTATAAGAATTATTTTGTTAATCCAAAGGTGAAGTCTTTTCACTTGCAAGCTTTCTGCAATTAATATAAAGCTTTCATATGCTTCTTAAAATTATTCTATGGTACTTGTATCTGAGATTTTTGTGCTATAGAGAGGAAAATCTCTGGTTAAATAAGTTAGTAACAGATTTAGAGGGTCTGTATTCTAACATTCTCTTAATCTGTTTTCTTAGGTAAGTGGCCTGCATATTCTTGCACATCCTTGTCACATGAATGTGAACTTCTTTTTTGAATTCCTTTTGAACATGTATCAGATATTGGAATGCCATTTGAAATTCATGGAGCTATGCAAGTTTGTGCTAGCTGAGGAACTAGCCTTAATTCCCCTGTACCTCAGTTTATCTGAAAGTAAAAGCCATCTATTCACACACTAGTTAAGTCTGCTAAGTGACAACAGTGTGTTTATCTAGCACATCTCTTACAAAACCCCAGTGCTTGAAACTGAGGAACTGAAATGTTAAGGATGCCATAAATCTTAGAGTTCACAAAGGGCCTGAACTGATGCTTGCTGAAGTCCGTAAGAGTCTTTCCATTTATTTAAGTCAGAGCTTGTCTGGATCCATAATAAACAAGTATTTTGGTGTATATGTGGCCAGATGAGCCACTAAGGATGCTGATCTGCACATATGAGTGGACTGATATTGCAGCAGTAGTAGCAATAACATGCCATACCCTAGACAGTTGGTACAAGTACAAAATCTACAGAGAATTCAGAAAAAGTTGGTGCAGTGAAAAAGCACTGTTTCTCAAGTGATAATACCAGCTATCTTTTTCTTCCATGTGTGATTTTTCACCTCTTAAACCAAAGAAACTGAAAAAGAAGAGTAAAAGGCTTATGTTCATTTTTTTTCAAACAGATTTTTAATTATAAAAGGTTAGAATTATCTATCAATTTTTCTCTATCTGTCCAAGCTACATAGTTCATAAACATTCAAATATTTGAAAAGTACAAATGTACCAAAAACAATGTAGCATATTATATACAGGAAGTTGTTCAACTTTCTCATTTCTTGCAAACTAAATTAATGCACTAAACTAAAGCATTCATTCTTATAATAGTTTTATATGAAACTTTCTTATTCAGTACTGTCAATAACTGTTTCTACTTTCTACATGGCTTGCTAGCACACACTAAACTTGAGCATCTTGTAATAATGTTAACACTTTCAACTGTTTCAGAATCCTTTCATCCTTATTCATTTCAGTACATAGCAAGCACCCCTTAACAGCATGATTAAGGAAAAAAGGATTTGAAGAATTTTGAGCTCATCTCTTCTTAGGGAGAATAATTACTTCATATTTATTTTTTCTTCAGGATTGCTTTGTAAGATGTCACTGATCATTCTTAATTCAAATAATAAAGACATGTTTTTAAAGGAGTAAAAATACGCAAGCAGTACTCAATATCATATTTAAGATTGCTGGTGGCAGAAAGCTCTTGAATGAAAAGAAGCAATGGGAGAAGCCTCCATAGAAATTGTTAAAATGCAGCTGGTCCAAATCTTTGGACCTGTCAGAAAGTAGATCAAAGAAACTTTTATCAGACACTGACAAAACTAGTCCACCATGATTCAAATTAAACATACCTAGAGGCATCATTCTTTTACTGTAATCTTGTGAAATATGATGGTCTCTATCAAACTCATATTGCTAAAATATTTTTTGTCTTCTAGGTAAACTACTCTGTCTTGATAGACTTTTATTTTTCACATTTTCTCTTGGAAGAAAAGCTAATGTTGAGGAAATACAATTAAGTATTTGCATAAAAGTATCAAATTATATTGCAAATAATATTCTACAATAAAACCAACTGGTTATTATCATGCAGACAACAGATGTGGCTCAAGGCTATGATCTTCAACACTGAAACATGCAGATCTAGTAGAATAATAGATAACATACTGAAGAATTCTTACTTTTCTCATGCAAATGATAACATTAGAGACCACTTATAACACATGAAATCCAGTCATTTCTCCAACAAATAGTTCGGTCCCTGGAACTGCTTATAATCTAATCATAGCTCTGGTACAACCAGAGAAACAAGAAAGGAAGGTGTTGCAACAAACATTCATAATATTCCTAACTTTTTCACTTATTTATTACATTCAGCGTATTTGTTCTGGCACCATGGACTGGTAGATTCTGTAGACCTGGTAGACTAGAACTGGATCCTGAAATCCATACATGTTAAATACAAAATTATACATTAAGCCTGATTCAAAGCATAGTTTTTTTATCCAAATAATAATTTTTAAGAACTCATTGGACGTAAAGACAGAACTTGGTGAGCTGGGTTGGCTTGCTTATATAGTGAATTTTAATGGCAAGAAAGTTGCATCTGTTCCTAAATGTCTTTCAGCTGCTAGATGCTGCTATACTGCTGATACCAGAGCACAGAAACAGATGGGGAAGAGGAGTGTTCCTCTTTTGGTAATCCAGTATCAAATTCAGCTGGGATACCCAGTTGATGGCTCTAGCTTTTTGCACAGTGTGGTGGATGAGCTAATAAGCTACAGTGGATGTAGTAAGGTTTTCCACAAAGTTGGTCTTTTTGGAGCAATTTCTGTACATATGGAGCCATTAATCTGCAATCCAAATTATCTATCCATACTGGTTTGTAATGAACACACCTGTGAGAATCTAGATACATTCATTTGCTTAAGTATGCATGAATAATAGGCAAAATCTTTCACATTATTTATATTTAAACTTTCTGAATTTTTGACCGATAGATTTGACTTAATTTTTCATATATTATGATGGATGATGCTCATTCTGCTTGTAAAGTCTAATATGTATAAAGAGAGCACCTGGGATGTAAATAGGGAAGCTGCCTGTTGATTTATTTATTTATTTATTTATTTATTTATTTATTTATTTATTTTAATGCTGTGCTTTATAAAACTCTGGAGGATAGAACTCCCTGAAAGGAAGAAGGGGATTCATACTCTGCTGCAAGCTTGTGAGCATGGAATATTATTTTGTGGTAAAGAAATTTCCAAAGCTTAGTGTCATGCAGGCTGGTGAAATGAAAGAGTGGGGAGTTACATATTCATAACCTAAATGAAAAAAGATTTTTGTGGGGGCCCGGAAAGGACTCTTGAGTTTCTTACAACTTGGAAACCAATGAAAAGGTTTCTAGGATGATAGTATGTATTCTGGACACAGTAAGAGAAATCTGGGGACAAATACTGTAGTTTCTATTTCACCTTACATAGCATTTTTTCTATTCTAACTTCAGTGTACATGGTACATTCATATTAAGTCTAGTTTTATAGTTTTTTATATAATTTTTGTAAAAGAAAAGTTTAGATATTCTTTTCTGAAAAAGCTTTTTGATTTGAATCCCTGCATACATAGCTGCCTCAGAAAGGAGGAATCCACACTTGTGAGTGGCAATAAGCCTGAAGTCAGAACCTAGCTTTACTATTGAAGTGAATTTCCATACATCTGGAAACTAAAGCTGGGGGGGGGGAGTAATCAGAAAAGAACTGAAAAAGAGTATATTTAAGTCTTCCTGTTAAGCAGGTACAGGTGGGAAATACTGGAAAGCACTAGAATTCAGTTGCTTTTCTGTGTCGCTCTAAAGAATAAGAATTTCTAAGATTTAGTATGTGAGGTTTGCCCATTATTATAGCAAAACTTGCTGTAGATTAATATGATTTTGGTTCCTTTACATTGACTGCTGTCTCTTAAAGAGTTCTAAAACTTTAAAATATTTTTATTCCTCTTCTTTGCAGCCCTATATACAACGATGAACATCTTTGGCATCTGTAATACTACTGATCTGTTCTGTCTAAACTTAAGCTGTATCTTTGAGAAGAGACTTTGGCCATTTGGTCCCTTTCAAAGGGAGACTTGAAGGTATGTTATGAAGCTTAAATGGCATTGTGTAGTTTAGTATGTATTAGAGCTTGCTGCTTTCCTGTAGCATAAGTTAAATTTTCATGAAAAACAAGAATTCCCCTAATTGGCACCTCAGGGCAAATTGAGGCAGACTGGAAAAGCCAAACTGGATTCTTTGCCTTTCATCCATCACTATTACCTGCAAAGGCTTGACACTTAGACAAGACCTCCTTCAAGTGTTTGCTCATTTGTAAATCAATGGATTTAACAATTGCACTATTAAGCTTCATTTCTCAGTAGTGTTGGTTCTTCTGCTCTTAAAAAGTGCTTAAACAGAAAATATATTCACATATTGGGAACTATAAACTGATTTCTTACATTCTCTTTTCAAGGTGTAATAACACTGTAATGCATGTCTGAATTTGTCCTGTGGCCTATTCCTAAAAATTTTTTGAATTAGCTTCAAGCTTTTCTCCTCAAATGGTGTGCTACATCAGCTTTTGTTCAAAGAGTTTGTATTTGACTAGTATGTTATGTAAGTAATTATAAAGTACTCTGCAAGTTTTTAAATGGGAATTACTATTTACTAGCTCTACTTTTGGATAATTGGTCGTGTTATCCATTACTGGCCTTTGTTGCGAGTTCAGAAAATAATAGATTCTGGTATTTTTGCCTGTTTGTTTTACACAAAGTTTTGGGGTTGTTTTTTTGTTTGTTTTTTTGGTTTTGTTTTGTTTTTTTGTTTTTTGTTTTTTTGGTTTTTTTTTTTAAGATTTAGCCTTGACTGACTCTTTGCCTAGACAATGCATATATTTTGGTGGCTTCAGCTATATGTAAGTCAAAGAAGCATGCTGGTAACAAAAGATAAGGTGAAGGCTGATGTACTCAACAAAATTTTTGCCTCAGTCTTCACTGGCAACTGTTCTTCACACACCCCTTGAGATAGTTGAGAAGGTGGGAACTATGAGAGCAATTTCATTCCTGATGTAAGTGAAGATCAGGTTCATGACCACCTGAAGAATTTGAAAATCCACAAGTCTATTGGTCCCAATGATTGGGATGCATCCCAGAGTCTTGAGGATTGATATAGTCACCAAGCCACTCTAGATATTTGAAAAATCATGGCAGTTAGTTGAAGCCCCTGGTGATGGGAAAGAGGGCAATGTCACACCCTTTTTAAAGAAGGACAGAAAGGACAGTGCAGGGAACAACTGATCTGTCAGCCTCACCTCTCTGCAAGGGAAAATCATGGAACAGATCTTGCTGGAAGCTGCTTGGGGATGTGGAAGATGGAGGTGATACAGGACAACCAGTAGGAGTAGCTTGCAGTACCAGCTTTGAAACTAAATCTCTGACTTAAACTAATCACAGAATCACAGAATCACCTGGGTTGGAAGGGACCTCAAGGATCATGTAGTTCCAAGCCCCCTGCCTAGCAGGGCCACCAAACGTACACATTCAGATCAGGTTGCCCAGGACCCCGTCCAACCTGGCCTTGAACACGTCCAAGGACGGGGCATCCACAACCTCCCTGGGCAGCCCGTTCCAGGGCCTAACTACTCTCCTTATGAAGAAACTAAATAACATTACATTTTTTCTCAAACTGATAGTGGCAGTCAAGGTAAAAACTGTCTATTCTGAATGCACGTACTGACTAAGTGGACATAAATATCATATTATTGTCATGTATGAACTTTGTTTATCTGTATCTCACTGTTATTTCAAATCTTAATTTAAAGCAACAACAAAAATAGCATGGTAACTGGGTGGTGTTTCTTTACTGTAACTTTACTTGATGTAAATATTTGTGAAACCCTGTTCTGCTCTTTACAGTGACCCTTGACAAACATGTTAATCTGTGATAATGTAAGGATAGTGAACTTTCAGATGAACCAAAAATTATTAAAATAGAAATAATCATTCCGAGCTTTAAAAAAAATTACATAATAAAATCACTGAAAAATATCAAAGGAGCACTGAGTTTGAAAATAATTAAGTTGCATTTCAAAGGAAATATTTGCAGGTAAAACACTTCTTAGAAGAGATATATCCATGAAACATTAAATTTAAATTGCCCACCTCCTTCATGCAGGAGGCTGTTGGAATAAAGAGAAGGCTCAGGGGTCCATAATCGTATGCTCACTGCCCAGCAAAGATTCTTGGGTGGCAACAGGTTCCCCAGCAGGAAAGGTATAAGGATAATTTGCTTTGCACTGGCTAAGTGTTGAACCAACAAATATTGAACCCCATGTGCTTCTAGCATCCTTATTGAATAGTTGAGATTCCTAGAAACCTTATGTCTAGTAGTAGGTATGACCATATGGCTCGGAATGAGGTGCAAAATTCAGTAATACAGTGATGAAATATCTGCTTGTATGAGAAGCTTCTTCTGAACATTTGCAAGAGGGTGTTCTTGGTACCTGTTCCTATGAATTTCTGCTTAAACAGTTGATTTTTGTGATAACATCTGGCAAAGACTTCAAAAATGATGTGAAGTGAGAAAATTAAAAGAACAGAAATACTTTATAGACAGGTATTGCATCAGTAAGTGACTGTATTTAGAGACAAATGAGGCTTTCTGAAAGGAAAAGTAATGTTTTTTATGAAACAGTGGAACAGAGTTGGAGTGTAAAAGCAATAAACAGGGTAAGGAAGCATTATTTTGTCAGACCTGTCTGAAAGAGGAAAAATTCCTATTTTAACATAGTAGAGAGACCATAGCGTTATTCTGTGTATGAACATTTATATGACTTACCATGACACACGCATTTAATTTTTGAAGAAAAAAATATTTTTTTATTTGGAGCATATCAATAAGGCTGAAGAGATTTTGTTCTAAGAAATACTAATGCAGGAAAAGTGTAAAAGATGCTAAGACCATTATTTGATGATCAAATTCATTTTTCTCTTTAAAGTCCCTTAATGACTTGTCTGTTCTGATGCAGTTCTCTGAATTCTATTAGATACAGTATTTTTAAAATTCTGGAAATTGAAGATGAAAATGTTTTGGAGTGATTAAGGTTTTTTTTTTTTTTTTTTTTTTTTTTTTTTTTTTCAGAGCATGGAATTTTAAAATAAGCATTTACAAGATAAATTTCTAATTCCACAGTTCTTCAGGTCTTCAATTAGCAAGTTACTGTAGCCACTGGGACAATACAAAAGATAAAAAATAAAATCTAGTTTTGTGAGTGAACTGTAGAATTTTGAAATTACTTACTTCACTTACATTGTGACATTGGTTGTGATCTATTTTTTTTCAGCCACACAGCCCCAGTTGAAATCAAACATAGGGTTAATTTGTCATAGATATAAGCTACCTGAAGAAATTTACAACAAAGGAGAAAATTTAAACAGGGGAAATGAATTCTGTCATGTTCTCTTCTTCTTTTTGTGAGCAAAAAATAAGGATGATGGTATGGAAGATGGTGGTATGGAAGACAGTGTTACCTAGGGGAAAAAGAGGTACTTCAGCAAGTATGCAAGGTGATTTCAAATGTCACACAAACCTTAATTAATCTCACATCAGCATTTGATCCTGAGATAGGAGATGATTCCTGTGTAGGAGTACTCCCACACTTCCTCTACAGTCAATGAAGAGAGAAAGACACCCTGAAGAATTACTCAGGTTTCACATAGGATGACTCACTCTGAAGAGGTGTCTTTCACTTTTTATTAACTATTTAGCAACACCAGGGTTGTAAATTGGCTGTCTAAATTTAGAGAGAAATCCCTTACTGAAGTATCTAGTCAGAGTAACTGAAAAGAGCTAAGCCACTCTAAAGGGTGATTCCTTCCATACTAAGAGAGATCTCTACAATGTGTGGGGTGATTCCTGTTCTACAGATGCTGCATGACCTTCTTAGGCTCTAGAAACTAGCTGAAGTTAGGTGAGGCTAATCCTTTCTTTAGACCAGTTTGTTACCTAAGTGAGAAAGTTAAAGCTAAGCAAGAGAAACCTGGAATATAATAAAGATATAGAGTACAACTATTTTGTTGAAGAAGATTTGCCTTAGTTTAACATGGTCGTTTGCAGTGACTGCTGAATTTCTGAGGGTTGTGCACACTAGTGCATTTTTCTGGATAATCAAGTATATCCAAAATACTCATCAGTAAAGGGAAGATTAATAGTCAGAAAACTTTATGCTTTTAAGCATCTAAAAACATAGATACTTCAACAAAATCTCTTTAGTCACCTCCTTGCTGCCTTAAAAGCTCTATTTCCTTCTAAAATCTGCTTCTGTGCGTCAGTTAATGCCTGTTCATTTTTTTTTTCCACTACTAATTCTTTATAACACTTGAACTCAAATTGAGCTGTAGCTGAGTCACACTAACACAAATAAAACAGGCAATTCGGAAGGAAACCCTCCCCTGTGCTATAAACTATAAAGCATCTTTTAATTGTTTCTTTACTGAAGGCAATCTTCTTTCCTCTCCCTTTCTCAACAAAGCAAAGTACGTACTCTAACATAGTGCTATGACAGGTGTAGGGCTTCAATGTTGTCAGTTCTAATCCTTTATATGTCACACCTTCAATCATATACTGAGCCATGCATTTTAAACAGAAGTCTGTTTTCTAGTCTGTGGCAACAGAGTGCCAGGACATACACTGTACAACCATATGGGTGTCTCTTTGCAGGACATATGTTGTACATCCTTAGGCACTAAAGCAATTAACAAGCAACTGTAAAGTAAATGTGATCTCCTCTGAAAAGCTCCAGAGCAACTTTCAGTTTTTAAAATTATATTGCTAATTTATGTCATAAAGAGATTCAGAACGTCAGAGACAGGTACAGTGATCACAAATAAAAGCAACAATAGACATCTTCCCCACTCAGGGAAAAAGCTGGGCCGAATTTAATGTGTAAATAATCAGGATTGGGGCGTAGCCACAGCAACTGTACTGGCCTGTTTGCACATATTTTTAGAATTATTTTTTCCCCTCTGTTTTCCTGTGCTTTTTCTTCTTCCAATCACCATGAGCCTTCCCTTTTCTAATATTTGGATCTTCCATTATGTAACCCGTAAGAAGTCTTGAAATGCTCCTGATTGCATCCCAAAGTATTCTATATGCAGTTATCTCCCTCAGGTCTGCTAAGTGCTCTGAAGAGCCTTTCCTCTGATCTATCCTCATAGATGTCACCTCCACCCCTGGAACCAATGCTCTCCTGGGACAGGCATGTTTTTTCTGATTGGGTTACTGGGGTGTAATGTTCTGTTTTCTCAACCCTCCACCCCACAGTTTTGTCCCTGCACTCCAGCTTTCTATCACACAACCCAACATCCTAGCACCATGGGGACACAAGAGAGACATGTTGGATTAGAACACAGGAGAGTTTAGGTCCCCACTTTGTCTTCATCACCACCCATTTTTTTCCTGCTTTGTTATAGCCTCTATGTATGCTATTTTCTATGTAGACAATCTTTTCAACCATTCCTCATGCACGTTTTTCCTTACTCTGCTGTTGGCTTTTTCTACACATTTTTGGTATACAGTTTGCAAACTTGTTACCAAATATTTGTATCACGTAAACCAGCACAGTGCCCCGCATGCAACAAATCAGAGGGAACACATGAAATAGGAATGCACTTTTTCTTCTCTAGAAAAGGCATAGTACAGAAACCATGGTGTTTTGAAAGATGAAAAATAAGACTCAGCAACTGATATTGCTGTATGGTGATATCATTCATATTATTAATTGATTTGCTATGCTTATTGCACAGAAAGAAAATGCCAGCTTTCACAGGCTATGAGAAGACAGAAATCTGCTTTTTATATTCCAAGATTTGCAGAACACAAAAGGTTAATTACAGGAAGGGTGAGTGAAAGAGATGCTGTCCTTTATTGTGTTTGAAGCTAAAAAGATTATAAAAGACTATTTCAATATTCACAGTCTTTTACTTGTTCAGGTGCTGCACTTCATTTTGGGAAACACATTTTGATTCGGCTCTAGGACTTCTGATTTGTCCTCCTCAACTACTGCACATAGCAAAGGGCTGAAAGCCAATCCAGCTTTTTTGCTGAAGATTCAGTGAGACAACACAGGTAAGGAACAATTTAGAACTTTTAGATAAAATAGCCATTCTTAGGATGTTTCTGTAGTTTGAGCAAGACCTCCTTTGTAGCGTTCTGAGGCTTTACTCTTAGTGGTATTTCTCGTGACACAGAACTCTAAAAAACCACATTTAATTTGCTGTGATTCTGTAATCATGAAGTCTGGATGTTGACATTCAGTAGGTTCACGTTTGCAGTTGACCAAATACACAATCATCAGATAAATGATCCTTGGAAAACTAAGTCTGCTGCATAAAGAGATTTAGAAGCCTCACTTTATACATTGCACTTTCTGAAATGTTTGTTTTTCTAAACTTTTCAAATGAAATCATTTTGATTATAGCGCTACATGATTAATTTTTAATTGCACAACAAGAGCTCCTAACTTCTTCTCTACTTCAGGCTGTCTTCTTCTATTTTAAGAAAATATTTCTGTATCTGAGGACAAAATATTTACTCCAAAATTAAAAACATGTTTCCACGTGGGTGTTCCAGGGTTGTTGTGGGCTGCCAGTTTTAGAAATATTTTGGCTGAAAATTATGCTGTGGCCTTTACAAGGTTTTGAAATTATTAAAACATTTTAACATTACTCTATAGGATCATAGAATCCTTAGAGTTGTATGGGACCTTTAAAGGCTATCTAGTGCAACTCTCCTGTAATGATCAGGGACATCACAGTTAGATTAGGCTGCCCAGAGCCTTATCCCACCTCACCTTGGAAGTCTCCAGGAACGGGACGTCAACCACATCCCCTGGCAACCTCTTTCAGTGCCTCACCATTACCCTCTCTGTAAAATACTTTTTCCTTATATCCAGCCTACATCCACCCTCTTTTAGCTTGAAGCCATTTGCCCTTGTTCAATCACCACAGGCCCCACTAAAGAGTCTGTCTCCTTTGTTTCCAAGCTCCCTTTTAGATACTGAAAGGCCACTCTCTGGTCTTCCTAGAGCCTTCTCTTCTCCAGAATGAAAAGTGTTTCTTGTATACTGAGGATTCCACATGTGGACTCAGTACTCCAGATGAGGTCTCACCAGTGCAGTGTAGAGAGGAAGGATCGCAACCCTTGCCCTGCTGACCACATTTCTTTTGATGCAGCTCAGGATATGGTTGGCTTTCTGGGGGCTTTCTGGGCTGTGAGGGCATATTACTGGCTTGTGTTTAGCTTACCATCCACCAGTGCCCAACAGTCTTTTCCAGCAGAGCTGTGCTCAGTCCTTTCATGTTTTAATATTTCTTTCTCCATATAATTCTTCGTTTCATTTCATACTGAGGGTGGTGACACGCTGGAACAGGTTGCCCAAGGAGGCTGTGTATGCCCCATCCCTGCAGGCATTCAAGGCCAGGCTGGATGTGACTCTGGGCAGCCTGGTCTGGTGGTTGCAACCCTGCATATAGCAGGGGGGTTGAAACTCGATGATTATTGTGGTCCTTTTCAACCCAGGCCATTCTATGACTCTATTATTTCATTTTATTTCATGGTATTAAAGTAGTGTCTTATCAAGATTCCATTTAAAATAAAGATTTGAGGTGTGAAATACTTACTATCATGGAATTACTTTACATGAGATTCCTATACTAGTGAGATGTCTTAAATGCATATTAACGTAAACAACAGTTAGAAATTAAACTAAATACTCTGACAAAGTCCTAGTCTCTGGAAAGACAGCAGTTTTACCACAATTTTTGGTGAGGCCAAGAATTCACCCTGTCATCAACCACCTTTCATCCTTCTGTGATACAAGCCCTAAACACTTTTAGTATACAAAGCAGATAAGAATTACAAGCATGAAATTAAGAATTAAGCATGAAAAAAATGGAAGTTGCATAATGTTTATTCAGTGTACTGTAACCTTTAATTAAACGAAGAATAAAAATGAAAATAACTGCTTGCTTAGAATTTGCTGACTTCAACTTGTTTGAAATAGGCAGTACAAATTGTAAAAAAAAACCCTGCTTTTGATAGACTGAAAAGATAATTAATATAAGGCAGCAACCCATTCGGTGCACTTCCTATGACTGCATAGCATTGCTCAGCAACTTTCTTCCCTCAAGCTAGTCAGTTGAGTAATCCTTCCTATGTTTTTTTCTTTCTCAAAAGCTCCATTCAAAAAAATTCTATGTCTTCTCTTCCAGCTACTTCTTTGGTCTCTCTTCCTTATTGCCTGCCAGTTATTGAGTTCTTATTTTAGTTCCCTTGCCCTTCTTATGCCACTCTTTACTTATCAGATATGAGAGCTGGAATCCCTTACTCATGAGAACTAATGTCATCCTTACTTACTGATTTCGAAACTATAGGAGAAAATATACATATATGGAGGCAAAAGCAGGTATCTGTTTTACACTATATACCTTCTTTCACTCAAAGTCTAGTTATCTCTGCTCAGCAGATTGATGTCCTTTTGCCTCTGCTACCAGGACATCATGCAAAAGGAGACCAAAGGAATGGATGAAGATAGAATGAGGTAAGTCACAGCAGGCATGGGGTTGAGATGGTTTCCATGATTAGTTGAGGAACAGTAGGTTGAAGTTTCTAGAAAAGCAAAAGAACTGTCTGTATAAAGCTGAATGAATACTGACTACATTTTTGGTATTCCAAGCACGGCTGGTGGCACCATTTACTACGAAACTGAAAAATGTTATGGGTCTATTTAACACTTCATTTTTGGGAGTGGTTTCAAAGTGATGTGACATTTTGAGTTGAGTTTTTTTCCTTTTTTTTTTTTTTTTTTTTTTTTAGATTTTATTTTTCCTGTGTTGTTGTTTGCTTGTTTGTTGTTGTTGTTGAAGGGAGAGCAGTAAGTCCCAACCTCTTTGGAAAAACTCTGTTCTTCCATGATTTGAAGAAAAGTCTTGAATTTCACTCAGGATAGGAGTAGTCCTTGTCAGAGGCAAACCAAGAATATATCTTTCTCTGTCTGAATCTGGGTAGGAATCAAACAGGATAAATCATTGATTTTTTTTTACTATTATCATTCCTCGAACAGCACTGGATTTCTACAAACATTGCCCACGGAGATTCTGAAGTCCTAAGCTGGAAGAGGGGAGGATATCTTGTATGGGACTCCAACCAGGTATAGACTATGTTTGACACTCTGTTATTACTAAGGACATAATAAAGTATAATAGTCCAGTTCACAGGCATCTCAAGTTGAGCAAGTATAATTTATTGAAAACATCAGACCTTAATTTCTTTGTGCATACAGAGTAGTGATTAGCAATACCTTCTTATGTAGTTTCTGTAAATATTTATGAAGGGCATGAGATGCTATAGCAACAAGCAACATGCAAATCTCAGGACAAAGTTTGTTTTTCTTTTGGTGTGGGATATGATTAGCGTGCAAAAACAGTGTGGGGGCTGACAAATTCCTCTGACCACACAACGGACTATGAGGCAAAAGCAAAGTACTGTTTAATAACAGCTCATTTTGTGTATTGAAATAAGTGTAACCCTGTGGAGAATGTCTTTGCTTTTTATATCACAATATATGTATCTCAAAGACTGAAGTAACAGAGGCGCTGTGGATTTTGCTTACACTTCAAACAAGAAATATATGCGATGATTCAGATAGAACTGATGGCAAGCCTGTATCCTCTTTCCAGCTGTTAAAGTCTGTACTGGTGATCTATAATTCATGGGTCCCATAGAGGTTTTCAGGGCTAGATAAAATATCAGAGTATTGCATTCAAATTGACTACAAAGTGTTGAGTATTTTGTTCTGCCTTCTTCTGGCTACTGGCAGTGAATTTTGTGTTCAGAAAGACTTCTCTTTAAATCAACACTCCTTTACAATAATATTGCCCCAATGAGAGACCTTAATAATACAAGAAACCAGCATGTTTAAATACATAAAAACCACAGTAGGGTAGAGAAACCACAACAACTCAGCAGGCCTGTGCAGGACCAGCAGCTACAGCTATGAGGGGAGGATCAAGGAGAAGACTGCCATATAAATTCAGCATTTGTTAGCTTACAGAGATTATTTTGTTTGACTGAGGTTGCAAAATGACAGTGAGAACAGTGATAAAATGGACTTTCCATTGTGAAGCAATCCAGAAATCTTAGCAGTCTGAAAATCGTTTTTTCTAGTCTGTCTTCTAATAATCTAAATCCTAGTCAAAGGGATTATTTGTTTGGTAGATGGTTAAAGACTGATTCTGGGAAAGTCAGCATTAACAGAAATGGTTAAAGATGCTATCAGGAAAACACTTTGAATTGTTTAATTTGCTGTTTGTATACTATAAGAGATATCTTCTATTTCATACAACTTTCTGCATATTTCAAATACAGGTGTGAAGTTCCTTGTCTTCCTAATCACTGTTTTAATAGAGAGCTAAAAATTTCTCTGATGAGGCAAAGAAGTATGCTGCACTGATGCCATGGACAACGGAAATTTTTTTCAAACTAACTCTATGATTAAACTGTAGTTGTTTTCATTTGACTGTATGACTTTTATACACTTATTAAAAGAAACCTGAAGTATTTCAAGTTGTTAAACTCCTGTTTTGTACGTTACGTGCAGTTATGTTCACATATTAGAAACCCAATATTTATGATTTTGTAGACATTAGCCAGCAGAGACGTTTCTTACTCAGAGCTGAATTAATAACCTGGCTTAGTATCAGGGCCATTGTGCTAGTGGAAGCTATCCTACATTATCCTACGTTAGAGGAATCAGATCTGTCTGTAGTTTCAGTGGAAAAAATCAGTATTTCTGTAATTTCAACAAAAGTTTCCCTGTGTACAGTCATAGAAGTACTTTGAAACATCTAAGAAAATCCTGTGTTCTCACTTCTCACCTAGAAACAAACAAACAAACAAAACCAAATAACAACACAACAATTGCAACATTTGTGATTTCAACTGGATTAAATAATCTTCCTTTTTCTATCCTAAACTGCCAAAACCATTTGTAATCCATTCTGGAAAATGTTAAATACTATTTAGGTATATCTTCAAGTTATGCTTGGAAGTAAGTTAACATATAAAAATAATCTGATATTTCTGTTCAGCCAAAGAGCAAGAGAATTTCATCTTCAAATGACCTTTTCCAATACATCATTTGATCTTACCTTCTTTGTTTTCATCACAGTGGTCTGGGGTTCTATAATCATTCTGGATCTGATATACTAAATTTTAATGTGTACCTAAATGTATAGCTTCATATCTGTATCAATCTTTTCTCTGTGATCAAGCTCACACAAACATAGATGATGTAGTCTTTTTTCAAGTGTATCTAGGGGAAATCTAGTATCACCTCACTCTCACTGGAGCCCCACTAGCATTTTGTTCTCTATTTTTATTGATACAAACATTTTGCTTTTACTTAACAATTATAAATTATAATAAAGTTTTCAGTCTCTGCTTTCATCTCATTGATTTTTTAGGTGCTTATTCATGAATTTGGATCTGAAAGAATTATCTATGCTCTTAGTTCTTAGAAAACAGATCAAAATTAAGTTGATACTTACAGCATGTTTAACCCTTCTCAATGATTCCTCTCTTTAAGGAATCAGAGTTCTAGACCAACTGAGTCCACAAAATATTTTCCTGAGTTTGTGAAAATCTGAATAATCTTATGGTTTTGCTTCTCTTCATCTAAGTTTAAAAATATTGATAAAAGTATTTTCTTTAGCCAATAAATCACAGCCAGTAGAATCACATCTTGATTTTTCAGAAAGTGTTTGATGAAATCTACTGCCAATTGCACTCAGGAATATCAGTTTCTTCCCAGTATTGTTGGCACCCTGTACTGGAATCACACAGCTCTCAGTATTAATAATCTTTCTTGTAACACTCTAGTTTGCCATCCATTTCTGACTTCATCCCTATGGGACTTCAACAATCTCCCAGCATCAACACAGTAAAATCTTCCTACTTTTCATATTTACTCCAGGTCATATCCAAATCTTCTATACGTACATGCCTCAGGAAACTGGTGGCTTGATTTGTGTGACTAATTCATTTCCAGTTCAGTGGCTATCAAAAGTGGGGAAGATACTCCACACACAAAAAATCGATGCAGTACTAGGATTTTGCATTTTGATTATATTTAAGAAAAAAAAAAAGTCAAGCATCAAATCATCATTTCAAATGATAACTTAATATATTAAAATATTTAGTTTTGAGCATGTCATTATAAAAATTTCAGCTAAAAAAAGTGGTTTTTTTTATTTGAATCAGTTCTGCTCATAAAATCTTCTTGAATTCTGAAATATCATTTGCTGAACATAAACTGCCTTTTTTAGTGAGAGAACTGTTCATCTGAAAAAACTGCTTTGTCTCTCTTCATCTTTATACTCCCATGTTTTCTTAAAATTAGCTTCAGCTACAGCTGTGGAAAAATGATAATACGTGATACGTACATATCTTTCAGTAAATATCTTTCAGTATGTATTATTTGAAAGGTTTGCAATGAAACTTCTACTCCATACTCCTAACATAGGCTGTTCAAAGTAGATTTGGGTAATGAAAAATTCTGTAATAATTCAGAAATTCAAATGACAATTTTTAACCTTTCAATGGGGAAATAAAGATGTATATTTCTGCTTTTCTCCCCTCCTGCAGTTTTTATCTTCTGTTGTCTTCATTCAGCAGCTATAATGGAATAGTAAAGGTGAAACAAAAGGCAGTGATCCTTTCTGCTACACTCTCTCAGTTTGTTCAGGACTGCTAAATGCCAGGCTTGCAGTCCCTCTTCTTGAGCATCTTCCTGTCCTTTACAGGTCATTCAAGGCTGCTTCATTCTGTTTGAGTACAAACTGTTCAATAATCCAGAATGGAAGTGTTAAAGGGCAGAATGCATCTTTAATGCTACTTGATTAAAATAAATATTTGCAGGTCATCCTCTTGGTCTGTGTAGAGAACCTTTTTTTTTTTTTTTCTCTAGAACCTTTCTTTAGTGGAACTGCTTCTGCTGTACAGTCTTTCCTATTGCTTGTGTGTGCTGTGATTTCATACACAAGAGCAAACTGCCAGGTATACACAATGTATACAGGTATACAATGAGAGGATGAGAGGGAAAAAATTTTTGGTGAAAGCTCTGAGTCACCAACATTATGAGGAGAAATAGATTTCATGTTCACATTAAACCATTGTTCTTCAAAGGTTGGGCCAAATGAGTCAAAACTTATTTATGAATAAGTGGTACACATACATACCAACTTTTATAGCTCGGAATTATTTCTCCAGAAAATGCCATTTAAGTTATCTCTACAGAGAGAAAACACTTCCTTTCAGGGAAAAAGAATATGCTCTTGCATGCTGAATTTTAAGCAATAAATGGATGACAAAGATTTAACAGCATTGTCTCTAGGACTGATGATGTTTCAATCTTCATGAGATACAACTGAAATACATTATCCTACCCTATGGGTGATAAATAAAAATAACTATGCTGTAAATTTTTTGTATGCTTAGACAAAAATAGGTTATAACAACTTTTACTTTCATTAAAATGACCAG